AAAGTTGGTAGATTATTAGCAATTGTATTCTTCACTATTTAAAACAATTAGAACGCTTCGGAAACATGAAATATTAAGCTATAACTGAAATTAAACTATTTGTGGCTAGTTAACTACGTTCATTCTTTATTTCGAAGGTAACGGTTTAAGACATTCATGCATTCTTTGATCAATTTGTTCTCAGGATGAAATGACTTCTTGATAAATTTTATTTTGCAGCATTCGCCAACGAAAAAATCCGGAGGCGTCAGATCCGGTGATCGTGGTGGCCACTTGCAGATCCATGTGTTCCAATTCAACAGTTTCTCTGTGAAGTGAGTATCCAAGTGATCTTTAATATGAAGAGGGAAGAGCGTTATGTCTAGAGGCGCCAACTTCTTGAATTATTATTATAAAAATTGATTTTGATTGATTTGAAAAAATCGAGTAAAAAGTTGCCGGTGGGAGATCACTTCGCCCACTGCCTCATCGCCTTTGATAATGTCCGCCGCAGTTGTGGACGAAACGTCAGGAAGAAATTCCCATAGACCAACATTCCTAAATGTGATTTAACCGGCCGTGAAAGCCTTCACAGTCTGATAAAGAAAAACCTGTTCATGTAAACGGATTTTGGCACATAAAAAGTTCCGATTGTCCTGGATTACTGGCCTCCAAGCAGCAGCAGTTCACATAATCTCCTAACTCTGGAATGGTTCAACCTCCTGCAAACTAGGAACTTGCTTCATGCAGCCATCAGAAAAGCTCCGAAGCCAGTTCCAGACGCAAATGAAAAAACTCAGCGGCATAATTAAGTGAGTAGGAAATTCGGATTGGATAGTGTAGCTAGAATGTCTGGAGACCCAGCACTAGAGCACCAGTGGCCCCAAAACCGCCCTAATCCCCCGTCGGTATCATTGGTTGCTCTCAGTCTTGATCGTAGGCGGAGTGTTCAAGTTCTCAGGTTCGTAACGCGTGTGGGTCCTCATGTGCCTGGTGATCATGTCCCGACGGCACGCCGCGTAGGGACACTGGGGACACTTGTAGGGCTTCTCGCCCGTGTGGGTGCGCTGATGCGTCGACAGGTGATCGGAACGCGAGAAAACTTGCCCACAAACGCGACATGTGTAGGGTTTCACTCCGGTGTGAAGTCTCATGTGCCTGGTCAGCATATCGCTGCGAGCAAAAGACCTCTTGCACACCTCGCAAAGGTAGGCCTTGGCCGTGGACTCGGCCGAACTCTGCCGGCTTTTGTGCCTAGATGCCATGTGCTTGGCCAGGCGATCGTGCAGAGAGAACATCTGGCCGCAAACGGGACACACAAAGGCCACGTCCGAGCCGGGAGGCATTTCCTCCACCACTGGGGACACCTCCAGGTTGTACCGGGACGCCACTGACTCCTTGGTGGTGGGAGAGGCGACGTCGCCCTTGACTACCGGAACGGAAACGGCGCCTCTTGGAGGCAAAAACCCAGCGGGCATGAGCTGCAGCCCGCCTTGCCCAGTGAGAGACTCCAAAGAGCTGGCTGCCTTTTCCCGAGCCTTGATACTCTTCATGGACAAGTCCAGAGGATACTCTTGGGGTATGGAGGACGATTCCGCCTCGGCTGAGGACCGGGATGAGGGCAACGTCAGCGGATGAGTCCACTGGGGCGCGGTTTTGTCGCTCTTGGTAGCATCCAGCCACAGAGGAAGGTCCGAATCGGAATGGCTGCGCCTCCTGAAGATGTCCGGCAAGTACTTGGAGTGGAGGTAGCGCTCGAAGTTGTAGCTGGGGGCGGGCGAGGCGGGCGTCAAAGGGCTGATGGGGGAGGCGGGAAAGAATCGGTCGTAGGGATGGAGGGTGGGCGGATGGTGGCCCGCCCCCGTCACGCACTGAAAGCACGGACACACTGGCGGCCGGTGGAACAGCGGCGGCGACGGACTGTTGTTGTCCTCCTTAATACGCAACGGACTGAAGCTGATCCGGGGCGACTCTGTGGAACTATGGGGCGACTTGTTGCTGGAGCTCGCCGGACTGAACACGTCCTCCTCCTCACTGGCCTGCTTGCACAGTCGCTCCCGCTCGACCGAATCGAACCGAAACACCTCGCCCACATAGTGCTTCTTCTTCAGCGCCTCCTTGTCGCCCTCGTTGTTGTTGTACAGGTTCAGCGTCTTCTGCAGCTGTTGCTCGCCCTCCTCCTCCTTGCCAGCCGTCAGCTTATCCAGCACCTGACTGAGTCGCTTGCGCTTGCGCTGCTTGGCCATTGGGCGGTGGTTGTGGTTGACCACCAACGGGTGGTTGTTGTTCGTCTTGTCTTGCGAGGGGGCGACTTGTGCCTCAAGGGAGCTTTCAGCCATCGTCATGGCGGGCAGCAGGTGTTCGTACGGCTTCCAAGCCTTCTTGGGGGAGTCGACCGGGTGCAGTGTGCTGCCGGCTGAGGGCGCTGCTGCTGTTGAAGGCTGCGTGGTGGGCGCAATTGTTCGCCTGGACCTCTCTGAAACAGAACAGAAACGATCATGGGGGGCTCATTTTACAGTTTCCACTTAAGGGCATAGATGATATGACATGACAGCGCATTTATAAAACGTGGGGATTTGCTATTTTTGGGTTACAACATAGATAAACATGAGTATAGATTATCCGTAAATCCCTAGCGTCTATCATAGATGTTATTAAGAAATGAGCATTAATATTGAACGCTGTGTGCCTCAGTGCGATGATACTTCTTCAAGGCGGTAAGCTTCATC